CCTCCTCCTCCTCCTCCTCCTCCTCCTTCTTCTTCTTCTTCTTCTTCTTCTTCTTCTTCTTCTGGCATTGCTACAAGAAATAAACTACCTTCTGCCCAGAATAAAAAAAATGAGAGGGAAAAAAGATGGTCAAACTGTACCAGAATGTAATAATTCTAATTGGTGCTACGCTACAGGATTTGGCTTGTAGCTTACCTTAAAGAGGCTCTACTTAAATATAAATCCATCACCCAGGTAGTCCAAATCCGTCTTCAAGAACTTGGCTGTGGTGCCCATGATCTCACCAGCATAAAATATCCAATGTGAACTACTGTATTCCAAATATCTCAGTGCTCAAAGGAGATTAGATCCTGGATAAAGAACAGCTGGCTCCAATTGAATGAGGGAACTCTTGTAGAAGATTAGTCTTAAATGGAAGAAACAATCATTTTCAGGAGTTGATGTTTGATCTTCATCCAGATAGAGGTCAAGAAGAGCCATTAGGGGGTGCCCTGCGACAGTCTGAAGACCGAACCAGGCTCGATGCAAAAGACCTGTGTTTATCAGGTGTTCCATAGAGTGCAGTCCTAAGAATACTTTCCTAAATGGGATTCTGTTAAATACTGGGTTCTAGATGCATTGCAGTGATGAGCTCTAGTTTATTCAATGATTTCAGCAAACTACAAGACAAGACTAGCGGGGCTAGAGCCCTGCTTATAAGCGTGCAAGACACCACACCCAACACACACCGACTCCCAGTGATAGGCTATTTACATTACACTGCTTATCTATAGGTTAGTTCCTGGATCCAGGCGAGCTATTGTTCTAGAGAAGCAAGCTCAGCCCGTTCTAGGCACAGCTAGAGGAAAGGCTTAGGCTCAATACATAGCAGATTCGGAGTAGAAGTGCATAGGACTGGTCTCATAGTTTTTTGAGGCCTAACTTGTAGGTCAGATGAAGAAGGGTTGTTTTTCGTGTCCTGCTTTTCTCTAGCTTAATGAGTCTCAAAGTGACTTACGATCTTCTTCCCCTCCCCTCCACACAACAGGTACCTCATGAGGTAGGTGGGGCTGAGAGAGTTCTGAGAGAACTGTGACTGAGCCAAGGGAGGTTTCATAGAATCATAGAGTTGGAAGGGACTTCCAGGGTCATCTAGTACAACCCCCTGCACAATGCAGGAAATTCACAAATACCTCCCCCCCACCCCCATTGACCCTTGCTCTATGCCCTGAAGAGGGCAAAAAACCCCCGCCTTCCAGAATCCCTGGCCAAACTGGTCCCCCTGGGCCTCTGATGGGCGATGGGGGGTAGAGTTGCCAGAAACAAGTTGGAAACATCCTGGAGATTTGGGGGTGGAGCCTGGGGAGGACAGGGACCCTCAGTGCGTACAATGCCATAGAGTCCACCCTCCAAAGCATCCATTTTCACCAAGAAAACTGATCTATGTCATCCAGAGATGAGCTATAATTCCAGGGGATCCCCAGGTCCCACCTGGAGGCTGGCATGCTTAACCCAAGGTCACCCAACAAGCCATGTGGAGGAAGAGACGGGAGTCAAACCTGGTTCTCCATATGAGAGAGAGTCTGCTGCTCTTAACCACTATACCACGCTGGCTCTCCTATGACGATTGGTCTGAAGACTGGGGGGAAGTGACCGAGGGAGAGGGAACTCTTTCTACCCGTGTTTCTTTCATGATCTAAAATGATTCTCCCAAACTGCACGTTATCCCCGTGGGAAAACATATGGACAGAGATACCCGGACCCGTATATGGTGCGACAAAAGCCCGTTGCCGCTTTGAAAGGGAGTTCCTCGTTTGATTCTCACTTCTCCCGCAAAGTCATGAAGTAACCTAAAGCTAGCCAGGGTTGTTTGGCATCCACTCTCCATCTGCATTATGAGGGATCGTAAGATTTATAGAGTAATGGAAGGATCCTAACCAGAAATTGACATTACACTGTGAAAGAACATCCGGGTTTGTGACAAAACGCAAGTTGGATGGAATTCACTTGGCACCTAACGGAGACACATGGTAAATTTGTGTGCGGAGGGAGTTCGGAGCCTGACGTATGTGTAACCTGGTGGTTTCAGCTCCCAGATTCTGAGGGACATCTATTTTTTTTTAAAAAAACACACACACTCAAATGATTAAATTACCAATTCTAGCGGTAATGCTGTGGGGCCTCTTAAACATGACATCAGTGTTATCTTGCTTTCACACATGCCGAACAATGGACTTTCGATCCACTTTCAGTGCACTTTGCAACTGGTTTTTACAGTGACCGATTTCACACAAGAGCTGCGCCGCAGTCGCGCCTCCCTTTGCCCCGCTTCTATTGGTCAATTTCCCACTCGAAGCCGCGCGGCCGCATTTTGACCCGCGGCTTCGTTCAAT